CAAGACCTTGAAGGCCTCGTTGTAGTGCTGCAGCTTGTTGTGGTGGCGTCATATTGCCGCTCGTTACGTTTATCCATGCATGTACTTCGCGAACGTATTCGCGAAAAGGCGTAGTACCGGCAGGGTCCCATGAAGGGCCAGTAGTACGCGTGTCGTCCATCCCCTGCCGCATGTATCCCACAGCACATCCCATTATTACCCACAGAATGCCGAAGATAGTTATCTTAATCCAGTGCATGTGCATTTCGGCTTCGGTGATTGGTTTAGGCTGTGGTTTGTCAGGCTCTGGCGTAGTAGCCGTGAGGCGCCTGACTGGCACGGGATGCAGGTGGCCCCGCTGCGGGTAGCCCCGCAGGGTGACCACGTTCTCGATCGAGTTGCCGATTGGCAGCTGGTGGAAGTCGAGAGTGAAGTAGCGCAGTGAAGTAGGAGAGAGCGTCTCGAGTTCGCGGGTTGCCCCGCTAGCTCGATCGCGGACTGGCTCCGCTCCTCGCAGAGCCGGCGCAACATGGTATTCCACCGTAGTAGTAGTCCACCAAGTTGTGCCGTGGATTACAGGAATCAGAGCGAGAGCCAGCCACACGAGAGTGTAGCCAGCTCCGCTACCAAGTCGAAAACAAGCTGGTAAGCTTAGGTATGTGTTACGCTTTAAGCGTTGCCATATCCCAGGCTTTGGCTCATATCGCATGAGCAAGAGAGCAAGACGAAGCATGGGATCTGGAGTAAAGGATAGAAGAGGCATCTTCAATGGAAAAGGTATTTTCCGATCTCAGATACCAGTCGTGCGCCTCGGTGAGGCACAGTCATATATTTGGCCGGGCCCGGCTTGAGCCAGGCACGGCAGCGGTACATGCTCGATTTATACCTCGCCTTTAACCTTCTCCGTTTAAAGTCCCAGACGCCCCAAGAGACCGCCTAGACGCCCTAAGAAGCGCCCAAGAGGCCCCAAGAGGCTTCCAAGACGCCCCACGAGGGCTCCAAGACGCCCGAAGAGACCTCCAAGACGCCCCAAGAGACCTCCAAGAGGCCCCCGAGGAGCGCCCCAAGAGGCCAAAATCGTTGATTTTCATGTGTTCTTTCGACGTTTTCGTCGTTTTCGCCTTTTCGGCCTTCCGACGCTCCAAGACAGCCCAAGAAGCTCCCAAGACTGCTCCAAGACGGCACAAGAGGCCGACGCCCCCAAGACGGCCCAAGAGAGCCCCCAGACGGCCCAAGAGCCGCCCAAGGCGGCCCAAGAGAGCCCCCAGACGGCCCAAGAGCCGCCCAAGACGGCCCAAGAACCTCCCGGAGACGGGCCCAAGAGGGGCTCCAGAGAGAGACCACGCACCGGAAAACCCAGCCTTACGCCCCAAGAGGCCCCCAGGAGGCCCCCAAAGGCCCCAAAGAGGCCCCAAGAACCCCCCAAGAGGCCCCCAAGACGTTCCAAGAGGCGCCCAAAAAGCCACAAAGAGGCCCCAAAACGGCCCCCAAAAGCCTTCGAAACTGCTCCAAGAGGCCCGCAAGAAGCCCCCCCGCAAGATCCCAACGGACATCTCCGAACACACCAGTTTTTCGAGTCGCGCCCAGCCCCATAACCCGGAGCCTCATCTCAGTGTCCCCCTCCTCCTCCTCTTCCTCCTCCTCCTACACTTCCTCCTCGTTCCCCTCCTCCTCTTCCTGCCCCGCTTCAGCTCATCCTCACCGATGCTTCTCCCCCCTATTTTCCGCCTCATCCCCCATCCTCCTCTTCCCGTCCTCCCTTTTCTGCCCAGTACGCACGTCTTGCATCATCTGCACTTTAGGGTGCCCTTCTTTGCGTCGCGCGGGACATTGTGCGGGTCGGGGAACGCCGACTTTGGTAGTCCTCTCTTGCACGCGCCGCTGCACTGATAAGCCTGGCAACTGCGCGCTGTGAACCCGAGTTCCTCGCAGCTTCTGCACACCACTTTAGCTCCTTTCGCCGCTCGATGATGTTCCGAGATCATCGGCGTGTGAGATGCTTCCCCCTCCCCAAACCCCTCCCCCGGGAACCTGGTCCGGTCGATTTGGAGGGGGGGGGGGGGCCCACCACGAGCGCGTCACGGGGCTTTTCCGGGCCCAAGAGGGCCCAAAGACGGGCCAAGAAGGCCCCAAGAAGCCTCCCAGACACCCCACGAGGGCCCCGAGACGCCGAAAAATCGTTCGAAGACGCTCAAAATGGCTTCCAGACGCCCCAAGATGCCTCCAAGACGCCCCAAGAGGCTTCCAAGAGGCCTCCCAAGAGGCCCCAAAAGGCGAGAATCGTTGATTCTCATTTGTTTTTTCAATGTTTTTGGCTTTCTCACCTTTTCGGGCTTCCGACGCTCGAAGACGGCCCAAGAGGCCCCCAAGACCGCCCCAAGACGGCCCAAGAGGCCTCCAAGACGGCCCAAGCAGGCCCAAGACGGCCCAAGAGGACCCCAAGACGGCCCAAAAGAGCCTCAAGACAGCCCAAGAAGGCCCCAAGAGAGCCCCAAGGCCAGCCCAAGAGGGGCCCAAGAGGGAGATCACGAAGCGGAAAAACCAGCTTTCCGCCCCAAAAGGCCCCCAGGAGGCCCCAAGAGACCCCCAAGAGGTCCCAAGATGCCCCCAAGAGGCCCAAAAAAGGCCACAATAAGCCCCAAAACAGCTCCCCAGGTGCCTCCAAACTGCCTCCAGCAGGCCCCCGAGAGGCTTCTCACGAGATCCCAACGAATATCTGAGAGGCCTCTGAACCACAACTCAGGCACGGTGGCGGGATGGGCCGACTACTGGGAGGAGGAGCAAAGACGACGACGATAGGAATGCGGGGGATAAAGTCGGGCCATGACGCCCCCAAGACGTCCAAGATTGCCTCCAAAAAAAAACAAGGGGTCGGCGGTGTGGGGTAAGCCTAAAGATCATTTCAAAAAATCCAAAAATAGTCCCCAGACTGTTTTTTGACTATTTTTGAATATGCCTCCTGTAGAGGGACAGGCCCGACTTAAGCCAAGGGTCACTCTTGTGTGCAGCCGAATCTACAGTCAGACTTGATTGGAGAGGACACGCGAGAGGACACGAGCCCCTTCCGGGGGCCACATTGCCACAGGCATGCGAGAAGGCATGGGCCGCGAGGCACAGGACAAGAGGGCACCCTTGACTCGGAGGCGACGATAGGGACGAATAGCCCAGGGGCGGGCATTACACGCATCCGCCCGGGAGCCTCTTCGAAGACATGAAACGTCGGCACCCCTGGATACATGTATTGCTCTCCCCGGGGCTATTCGCCCCTATCGTCGCCCCCGATTGACTTGGCAGGGTCGACCTCCTAATCCTGGCCGACTGTACATCACGTGGCTGCCTTCCACACCACCCCAACCCAACCCGAAGACCCGAATTTCGGGTTGGGGGGGGATATGGGCCCCATGTGTGTCTTCGTCGATGCTCCTGGACCCCCCCCCACTGGAAATGGAGGGCAACTTGAGGCCTTCGGCTTGGGCTGGGGTGGTTTGGTGGGTGGTGAACACGCACGCCAAGCCTTTTGCGGGCCCCGGTAACGGCAGGGCCGTTTTTTCACCGTTTCCAGAAAAATGCCCCTTGAAAATGGAAACGGCCAAAAAACGGCGACCGGCAACGGCAAAAAGACGGCTCCAGGATTGGAACCGGAGCCGGAACTGGTCACAACACGGCGACGGAGCCGGGAAAAAAACGGCGTCGGAAGCTGCAAAAAACACGGCAAAACGGAACCGGTAAAAAAAAAAACGGCCCTGTCGCTTCCAGGGCCCACTCCGCGCCAGGCCAGCCCCCTCGGGCCCACCGCCGGGCCCGGGGGCCTGGCGGGCCCCCCCCCCTGAAGGGGCCCCAGGACACACAAATAAATACACACAAATAAAAATGTTCCCCATATTTTCCCATATTTTCTGGGTTTCTGTCTTCCCCCCCACTTCCCATATTTTCCCATATTTTCTGAATAATCGGGGATTTATTGTGTCTGTGTGTTTTTTCCTCTCCTGACCCCCCCCGTGGCGCGGGCCGCGCCGGGAGGGCCGGCGTGGGCACCGCTCCCGGGCCCCCGGGGGCGGGCCCGAGCGGGCCTGGCGTCGGGCCCTGGCCTCCTGCAGGCCAATCTTTTTGGACGAGGAGCCAAAAAGAGGCAAAAAATACAGTCGAGGCGTTGACCTAAGGAACCCAAAATAAGGAACGAGGCCCCTTTCTTCCCAGAAGTTCAACCTCGATTACCTATGGAAAACCTCCGGAAAACCCGAGGAAAACTTTGAAACAACCAAGGAACACCGAGCCCCTCCCCAACGAAAAGGGTTCCTTCTTCAGCGCCCCGACTGTACCCCAAGATGCTCCAAAAGGATCGAAAAGAATCGTCCCCAGACTCTTTGGGACTCTTCCTGAAGATTCCTCCCGTGGAGGGACAGGCCCGAATGGAAGCTGGCCTGGTGGTGGTGTCCCCGGCCTCCAGCGTATTGACCAAATCAATACGGCCATGTTCGCCGTATTCGGCCTCATGGGGTCCTCGCCGGGTCCCGGGACCGTCAACAGAAAAAACGGCTCGGCATGCAAAACTGGCCCTGGGGCAAAAGGTCTGGACTTCAGAGGATTCCGCACAGAAAACATCAAGACTTAGGTCGGGCATGTCCTCCTACTGACGGATATCTGAAAGGAAACAATGAAACAGTAAGCAAGAATCAAAATTGGTCAGACAAATATCGAAAAATCGTACCCTGACTATTTTGACTAGTTTTGCATATTCTGGGAGGCCTGGAAATGGGCACCAACACCAACACAGAGGGCTGCCTCCACAGGGGGGAGGTGATCCTAGATTTCGGTGTTGGTGGTAATATTTCGGCCACCTTGGAAGCCAGAATATTGCCACCATCACCGAGATCGGGATCTTCTCCCCTCGGTGGAGGAACACCGCCGATCTCGGTGTTGGTGTCAACCTCTAGGCCTGCGATACTCCTGCTGTAGAGGGACATGCCCGACTGAAATCGAGACGTCGGATGTCCGCGGTGCGTGGATTCGCCCCTGCGGGGCCTCGTGCGCACCGAGCTCCGACCCGTCCTCTCTCGGGGCGGGCGCCAAAAGGGGGGACAGGGCGATGGGGGACGGGGCGGCCCGCAGTCGGACCTGGGCCAGAAGAACACACCCCTCAAGACTCCAGAATTCAAACGCCATCGGCCCAAACGCACAGCAGCATCCACGATCCATCCAAAATTCCTCGGTCGGCCACAACGCACAGAGCAGTCAGGGGCACCCTCCCAAGGGTGCACGAGAACAGCCAACAGGCACGAAGAGCGTTGGGGCACCCTCCCCGAACCCACCTCGAGCTTCTGCCTCGATCCGACTGCAAAGCAGGAACATGGAAAGGCGACACCAACACCACCAGGGCCAGGAAATGCGAGGAGCAAGGGGGGTCTCTCTGGTGGTGTGGCCCCCCCCTCTCGCTCGAGACACCCCCAGCCTCCAGCTCGAGGAGGTCTCGTGGACCTCCTCGCCGGAGGTGGCCCCCTGGTGGTGTCGGTGTCGCGTCTCCCCCCTCCGAGCAGAGCAGGCCGGCACCACGACCACCAGGCCGAGGGAGGCCAGGTACCCCACAAAGGACGTACGCGCCCAGCTATGTACATGAACACGGCCCCGTGACCCGCGAGACCTGCCGCGTGATAAGAACATTCGCGCAATGCGAATTCTCGAAACCAGCGTGGATTCATGTACGTGTACGTCCTTCTTTCGCTCCTGAAGGGAGCAGGCCCTCCTGGTGGGCGACACCGGGAGCCTCCTCGCCGCAGGCGGCCCCCCGTCGAGGTGGTGGTGCCGCCCCTCTCCCCAGGCCTCGTCGCGCTGCGAAAGAAGCTCGACGGCAATTCTTGATATTCGGCCTCCGGGGACCCCTAGCGGGCCTCGCGAGACCGTCAAAAAACAACCGAGGATGAAAACGGAAGCTGTTTCAGTATTTTCGGCCTCTGGGGGCCTGTACCAGGCCTCGGGACCGTCAAAAAACAACTCAGGATGGAAAACCGGTCCTGGGGAATGGATCCAGACCTCTGGGGGTCGGGTCACGGAAAATCATGCGTTGGCCGTCTGGGTCCCCGGAGCATCTCTATGCAGCGGCTCGGTTCCTAGCAAAGACTTTGGGCAAAACATACAATATCTGCGGCCTCGCGGGCCGGGCCCCTGGGCCGCGACCCCGCGGATAATACGGGGCGCCCTTTTCGCCGATGCCCCCGCTCTGAACGCATCCGTGCGGCCGCGTATATGCGGCATCGCGCCCAGGAACTCAGAACGCGAGGGCGCGGATACTGATATGTTCGTCGCTCGTAAACTGCGGGGGGGGATAGCGGGCCAGGGGGCAAGTGGCGTGCCTTTCGAGGGGCCCGGAGGTCTTCAGAAGACCTTCCGAATGGCCTCCACACGGCCGTCGGACGGCCTCCGAACGTGGACCTCTACGAATGATGCTGGCCCAAAGTCACCAGCTTTTTGCGCCATTTTGGAGCCCCAGGGCACTGTGAGCCTCGCGAAGGGCGCTCTGGAAACCCTCTGGACCTCCCTGGACGAGCTGGAGGCCAGGGCCACATCTGGCAACGCTGCGGCATCGGGGCCGTCGGCGGTCGCCTCACTGGAGGCGTCAGGCATCCAGGTTCTCCGCCCCTCTCTTGACCTGCTGGCGCAAACTGGACATCTAGAAATGATCCTGGCCTAATAGTAAGGATTCGTAATAATAGTAAGCTTGATAGTACTTGATAGTAAGCTTGATAGTACTGATAGTAAGGATTCGTAATGGAAAGGATCCTGGCCTAATAGTAATGATCTAACAGTCAAAGCTGATAGTAAGGATTCGCGGTAACGCTGCAAACCCCTTGGACGCCCACGTCTAAGCTGCTCGAGCGGGGCCGGCCGTCGGAGGGGGTCGAAGATGGACCGAGGAGGCAAGGATTCAAGGGTACCCTTGGGAAGGTTGCCCATCCCTGCTATCGATCTCGACTGGAGAGGAAGATGAGAAGAAGAGGGAGGACCAGGATGAGTATGCTGCGGGAAATGGAGGAGGGCACCGTCCTCCTCCTCCTCCTCTTCCTCCGCCTCCTACTCCTCCTCCTCCTCCCCCTCCTCCTCCTGCTCCTCCTCCTCCTCCTTCTCCTCCTCCTCCTCCTCCTCCTCCTCCTCCTCCTCCTCCCTCATTACTATCGGCTTCGACTGTATCATGCCTCAAGCTTCTCGCGCCCTCTGGATGCGGCTACGCTCGCCGCCCACGGAGGAGGAAAGCTCCGATGCTGGGGAGACATACAGGTACCAAGACCGTTACTCCCAAGACCTCTCCCTGGGTACGCTCTGACAAGGATTTCGAGGCGAATCCAGCGGATGGCGACGAGGGCCTCCCAAGAGCCCCCCAAACGGGAAAAAAGCGGGGCGAAGGCTAACAGTAGAGGTGTCCCTTCCTCCTCGACTGTCACACGTCTCCAGCTCATTGCGTCCTTTGGGATGCGGATGCTGAGCAGAGACCGACCGTCCCTGCATTCCTTCAGGGCTCCCAGGAAATTCTCTTCTAACCAAAGTATGCATTAAGAACCACCTGTTCCTGGAAACGAAGCAATGGTTTATAAAATAAAACCACTGCATTGAAGCAATAACCAAAACAGTATTAGAACATTTGATAGACAAGCCTGGACGAATCGCCACTGTTCGAGTCACATGTCTCCAGCTTCTCGCGCCCTTTTGGGATGCAGATACCCCTGCCACACGCGAAGGAGGAGAGGAGGAGGGAGGAGGAGGAGGAGGAGGAGGAGGAGGAGGTGGGAGGAGGTGGGAGGAGGTGCGAGGAGGAGAAGGAGGAGGAGGAGGAGGAGGAGGAGGAGGAAGACGAGGAGGAAGAGGAGGAGGAGGAGGAAGAGGAGAGAGGAGGATGCAGAGAAACGGAGGAGGAGGGAGGGAGCAGAGAGGGAGGGAGGGAGGGAGGAAGGGAGGGAGGAGGGAGAAGGCAGGAGGGAGGAGGGAGGAGGGAAGAGGGAGGAAGAGGCGGAGGAGGAGATGGATGGATGGATGGATGGATGGATGGATGGATGGATGGATGGATGGATGGATGGATGGATGGATGGATGGATGGATGGATGGATGGATGGATGGATGGATGGATGGATTAATGGATTAATGGATGCATGCATGGATGGATGGATCGATGGATCGATGGATGTCGATGGATGGATGGATGGACGGATGGATGGATGGATGGATGGATGGATGGATGGATGGATGGATGGATGAATGGATGAGGAGGAGGGAGGAGGGAGGAGGAGAAGGAGGAGGGAGGAGAGGGGATTAAGGAGGAGAGGAGGCAGGGTGGAGGAGCAGGGAGGGAGGGAGCTGCTTAGGACAGGCCGCCTGCTAGGCGTGTTTGTTTGTTGTCTCTCTTGTCTGTTCTCTCTCTCTCTCTCTCTATAGATGCCTATACTATCTCACTATGTTGCACGTGTCATCGTCATCAGTGCAGCTTCAGGCGCCAGTCAGTGCCGAAGAAGCAGGGGAGGGAGGGAAGGCAACCGGGCGTGCGCCCAGGGGCAGAGCACAACTCGGTGGAGCACGGAGTGGAGCACGCGGGAGGCGCGCTCGGGGAGCGGAGGGCGGCCCTGCACGCAGTCGAGGAGGGGGGGGACGAGCGAGGAGGAGGAGGAGCGAGGAGGAGGAGCTGGGAGGGGGCAGGTGGAGGAGCTGGGAGGAAGGCAGGGGGGAGGGAGGGGGGGGGGAGTGGGGGAGCGAGGGGGAGGAGGAGGAGGAGGAGGAGGAGGAGGTGGAGGAGGAGGAGTGAGGGATGAGGAGGGATGAGAGCGGAGGAGGAGGAGGAGGAGGAGGAAGGAGGAGGAGAAGGGTATGAGCCGAGGAGGAGGGGGGGAGGAGTGGAGGAAGGCGGGAGGAGGCAGGGAGGAGGAGGAAGGCAGCGAGGAGGAGGAGGCAGGAGGAGGAGGAGGAGGAGGCAGGAGGAGGAGGAGGAGAAGGCAGGAGGAGGAGGAGGAGGAGGAGGAGGGCAAGGAGGAGGAGGAGGAGGAGGAGGAGGAAGGACGAGGGAGGAGGGGAGGGGAGGAGCAGAGACCGCCTGCGGGCGCGCGGGGTGCCGCGCCCCGATGGCGTGAGCTCTGCCATCCCGGCCCCATCTTGGAACCGACGCCGTAGGGACCCACCGGGCGGCATCATTTGGATACACGTTTAAGTCGGGCCTGTCCCCCTACAGAGGGATCCTCGACGAAAAATTAGAAATACCCCAAAAATACCCCCAAAAGGCCAACAAAATACTATAAAAACAGTCACCAAACTATCTCTGGATTATTTTTGACCTACTTTTTTTTCCATCGAAAATCCCCCTGTAGGGGGACAGGCCCGAAATACACGTTTGGCCCCCGGGAGCCCAGAGGTGTCCACATCCGCCGCTCGTGGAGGTCCGCGGCGGAGTCGATCCTCTCCAGGCGGTGGCCCTGAAGAAACTTCCCCGCCTCGAGCTCGGGCCCGGGCCCGAGGACCTCAAGACGAGGCCAGGACGAAGGTAAAGCCAGGTAAGGATAAATCGAGACATCACTGAGATCTGGCAGATCTGGCGGCTGGCATATGGCGGTATTTTGACCCTGGGGGCCAAGAGATGGCCACATCCACAGCCTGTGGAGGTCCGCGACACTCGATCCTCCAGGCAGTGGCTATGAAAACATCCCCGCCTAGAACGCGTGCCCGGACCCGAGAAGCTGCAGACGAAGCCAGGACGAGGATAAATTCGGGTAAGGCTACATGAAGAATCTCTGAGATATGGCGGCTATGGAAGACGCCTTGGGCGCCGCGGCCTTCTCAGAGCGCTCCGGAACGCTCTGAAAGCATTCCAGAGCGCTCCGGAACGGATTCTTCCTCGTCCTGGCCCCGTCCAGATCCCAGCCCCCCTCGGGCCATGAAGAAATCATGACGGGAGGCCTCTCTCAATCGTGAGCCTGGCTGGGGACCCTTGCAGCGGCCCTCGGGACCCTCAACAAGCAGACCCAGGAAGAGAAGACCAGCCCCGAGGAATGGGTCCGGACCGCTCGGGGTCCACGTCAGGACAAAGATCACGACGGCGGGGGCCTGGGTCGTATTGGAGAGGACACACGACAGGACACAAGACCCCCTCCAAGGGCTACACTGACCCGTCTGAAAGCTGCCCAGAATCGGTATCCCGACGCCCTCCCCCGCGGTCCAGCCTGGAGGAGGACGAGGAGGAGGAGGAGGAGGAGATGGGAGGCGGAGGAGGAGGAGGAGGAGGAGGAGGAGGAGGACACAAAGCCCCTCCGAGGGCCACGCTGCCCCAGGAATGCTGCGGAGGACGTGGGGCGAACAGAGAGCAGGACACGGAAGGGCCCTCGATTTGGCAGGGTCCACCATCTGATCAAACTCGACTGTGCGCGGGTCCCAGATGACGAACCAACAACACACACCCATACCCATAGGGGGATCGGAGAGGGCTATGGGTGCGTGTTGTCGGATGGGGGTCCCCGCTCGAACGGGAGCGTTCCCCAGGGTCCGACAACCCGCACCCATACCCATAGCCAGTCCTCCTCCCAACGACCTCCCTATGGGTATGGGTGTGTGTTGTTCGTTCGTCACCAGAGACCCCAACCCTCTCCCCCGGACCCGTTTTCCATCCCGAATCGCTGTTTGACTGTGCCGAGGCCCTGTGGGGGGCCCCCGGAAGCCCAAACTTGCCCAGAAAAACCTCCCGTCATGACGTGTTCTTCACCGCGAGGCCCCAGCGAGCCGGCGCCCAGAGAGCGCCCGAGGCGGCGGCGCCGATCTGCTGCGCGCCCGCCCCAACCAAAAGTCCTCGTCGTCCACGGTGATCCTCAGGAGGACGTCCGCGCTGACGTCCACGAGCGGGAACACGCACCTGGAGCGGCGGCGAGCGATGATGAGGGGGGGGAGGCGAGCACAGAGGAGGCCCGCTCGGAAGGCGGCGGGGCTTCTCGGAAGCCCCAGCGCGCCTTGTGAAACGTGTGCTGGGTCTTCGGGGAAGGCCTGAAGAAAACTTCTCGGAACGCCAGGGGGCTTCTTGAGCAGGGACCGACCGCCCCGGCATTCCTGTAGACCTACCACGGGATGTTCTTAGAACCCAATAGTGTTCTGAGAGCACAAACCATATTCTTAGAACAGAAGCCCGGTGTGATAAAACAAGACAGACTCCGCCAGAAATGTTCTAAGAACATTTCGTGGGAACCACAAAATTGAGGGATGAAAAAACGACCCTACCCTGGGTTACAAGTGCGTGGTCTGTAAACCTCCTGGGAACCCCCAAAGCCTAGAGCCGCCAGGACGCGGCACATCACGCAGTGTTTACCCTGTCAGCCCACAGGAGTTTCAGCGCACAGCGCCTCGTAAACCAGGGTAGGGGCGTTTTTTCTGCCCTTGACAAAAGGTTCTTAGAACATAGCTTGGTAGGGCTGTAGGCGAGCCCGGACGCTTCGCCACGGCTTGATCTCCCTCTGCCCCTGGGCTGGCCGCCGACTGGAAGCACGGTGGGATGCCAGTGCCCCTGCGCCCTCGGCCCGCTCCTGGAGGCGCAGACCCCCTCTCTTCTCACGAGGCCTGGCTCGTTCCCGGAGAAGGCGCGGGCCCAAGACTCCCTTTTCAATTGGCAAACTGTCCCCCGTTCCCTTGCTGAGGTGGACCAGCAAGGTTCCGCTGGATGTAAAAAACGAGGTGAAGTTCCATCGGCGTGGGAAAATATAGCCCCCAGCTCGGATCCTCTTTGCCCAGCGGGGTCCGCAGACCCCCGCTTTCCTTTGGAAAGGAGGAGGTGCGGAGCGTTTTGCGCAGAATACCCACTAGATAACAAGACTCGGATACCCTAATATCTTAAGAAAACATGGAAGCATTGACTTGTTGCGTGCCCGCTCGAGGATGGCGCGTCCTGCATGCACGAATCCCACCAGCCCTCCTCTTCCAACCCCGTTCTTCGCCTTCGGGGAAGGGTTTACCCCTCCCCCACTACCCCCTACCCTGGACTTGAAGCGAGGGGTTGGAGCGTCCAAGATGGCCCAAAACGGCTCCCAGAGCGCCTCAGAGATCCCAAGATGACCTCCGAGATGGCTCAAGATAGCCCAAGATGCCTCAAGATGGCTCCCAAGATGCTCCAAGAGGCCCAAAGAACGCTCCAAGACGGCTCCAGGTGGCCACGAAGCCTCCTTAGGAGGCCGCCAAGAGGCCAAAATGTTCCAACACCTTAGGAAAATTCATATGTTTGGCTTGAACGCCTTTTCGCGCCCGATGGTCATCCGAGGCCTCAAGATGGCTCCAAGATGGCTCCAAGATGGCCCACGAGAGGCCGAAGAGAGCCCCAAGACGGCCTCCAAAGCGCCCAAGAACGCTCCAAGAGCGCCCCAAGAGCGCGCCAAGAGGCGATTTTGGACACTCTAGAAGGGCACGGCTAATTGAAGTTGCCCTCTTGTTTGATCGATGTCTTCCAAGATGGCCCGGCGGAACTGAATTTTGAGGACGTCTCGAGCGAAACGCGGGGTTTTGAACGTCCGCTCGATGAATAACAAGGCAAATTGAGATCTGTCGCTTGCTGCGGATGCTTCGTGCGAAACGCTCGTGTTGCAGAATGTGTTGAGGATGTCTCAAGGGAAACGCTTGTTTGAAGGGGCCCTGGGACACACAAATAAATACACACAAGTAGAAAGAATCCCCATATTTTCCTATATTTTCTGGGTTTTTGTCTTCCCCCCCACTTCCCATATTTTCCTATATTTTCTGGGGAATCGACGATTAATTATGTCTGTGTGGTTCTTTCCCTCCTGATTGTTTTGGAGACTTCCAGGAACCTGGACGCCCCAGGATGCCCCAGGGGGCGCTGGGACTGCGGACGCAGCGTAATTTGGCAGGGATCGCGGCCCCGGGAGAGTCGATCACGCATAATTTTGCAAGGGATCGTGGCCCCGTGAGCGCGAATCGAATTTAATCTACGAGGCACTGCGGCTCTGGGAGCGTGGATCCCGCATGATCTACGAGTGGTCTTCGCCCTGGGAACGCGAATCCAGCGCCGTTCCCGAAGGATCTTGGCACTGGGAGCGCGAAACCCGCGTAATTTACTACGGATCGTGTCCCTTTAGAAAAAACATCCCATTAGTGAAAACGGCCTGGGACCGAAACCGACGGGCCTGGACCCGCAAAAATGACGGCCACGACGCCCCCTCGCGAACCGAACACGGCCAATTCGCTAATCGACGTGTCAGGGTAGGAGGTCTATCCACCCCCGATCCGCTATCTCGGCCCTCGGTGCGAGGCTGAGGCGGGGATCTATCCATATCCACCGCCTGGGAACCGACGGCCTGGGGACCCAGCGGGCGGTGCATATGGAGATATTTTGACCCTGGGGGCCAAGAGATGGCCACATCCACAGCCTGTGGAGGTCCGCGACCATCGATCCTCCAGGCGGTGGCTATGAAAACATCCCCGCCTACATCGCGGGCCCGGACCCGAGAAGCTGCAGACGAAGCCAGGACGAGGATAAGTTCGGGTGAGGCGACATGAAAAATCCCTGAGATCCGGCGGCTATGGGAGAATCTCTGAGATACGGCGGCTATGCAAGACGCCTCGGGCGCCGCGGCCTCCTCAGAGCGCTCCGGAACGCTCTGAGAGCGTCCCAGAGCGCTCTGGAACGGATGTTTCCTCGTCCTGGCCCCGTCCAAATCCCAGCCCCCATCGGGTCATGAAGAAATCATGACGGGAGGCTTCTCGCAATCGTGAGCCTAGCTGGGGACCCATATACCGGCCCTTAGAACTGTCAGAACAAAGACCTGGGCTGAGAAGCCGGTCCCAGGGAATAGGTCCAGACCGCTCGGGCTCCACGTCATGACAAAAGGCATGACGTCGGGAGTCTGGGTTGTCTTGGAGAGAACACGCGACAGGACACAAGACCCCCTCCAAGGGCTACATTGACCCAGCTGAAAGCTGCCCAGGAATCGGTATCCCGACGCCCTCCCCCGCGGTCCAGCCTGGAGGAGGACGAGGAGGAGGAGGAGGAGGAGGAGGAGGAGGAGGAGGAGGAAGGAGGAGGAGGACGAGGGGAAGGAGGAGGGGGACGAGGAGGAGGAGGAGGAGGAGGAGGAGGAGGAGGAGGGGGAGGAGGAGGGGGAGGAGGAGGAGGATGAGGAGGAGGAGGAGGAGGAGGAGGAGGAGGAGGATGGTCGGGCATCGAGCCGATCGGGATATCAGCACAGTCAACCCATACAGGAAGGATGCACAGTAAGGATGCAAAGGCCGTGGAGGGCCACGTCGACACGTTGCGAGCGGGGCGCGGCCAGCGAGGGCGGCCAAGGATGGTCCAGAGGGGAAGGATGAAAGGGCAACCTTGGAAAATCGCCCATTCTTACTATGCAGATTGACTGTACGGCAAGTCTGTGTCGTTACAACCTGGGCTGTGGATTCTGACTCGCACCGCGTGGATCGTTCCGTCTGGTACGATCGCGGATCCTGCAAAGCAGAACGTTCGATGTCTGCCGACTCCTGGCCACTGGGGGCGCCCAGCCTTGAACTCGCGCGCGGCGAACGTATCCGCACCCACGCCCTCGCGGTCTGGATGACGGGGCGCGATCCCGCGGATCCGCGGTCGCACGGATACGTGCCGCGCGGGGCATGCGTGAAAAATCGTAAAAATCGTCCCGCATCTGCGGGGTCGCGGCCAAGAGGCCCGGCCGCGAGGCTGCGGATACGGACATGTGTTTCGCCCACGGTGAACGCTCGCGCTGGGATCGCCGCCGCGCCCAAGCGACAAAAGCCTACCGTAGTATTAGATCGACTACATAATGAATGTACCCTAGCATTGTTGTTTCATCGAATCGACGAGACATGTGTAGAACGATCGTACGTCAACGAAAGTTCTACATCCGTGTCCAGATTCGACGAACATGACCACTCTGGGGTAACTCAATTGTGCAGTCGATCCTCTGCCCGACTTATCGATGCTTGATGCAAGAAGGCGCTTGGAATAGACTGGCACTTGGGAATCCAGAGGTACCTACGTTCATCGATCGGCACGTATGCGGGGAAACCCAAAGGTACCGATTCCGTTACTCCCCAGACCTCTCCCAGGGTGCGTTCTGACCAGAATTTCGAGGTGACTCCAGAGGAGGTGACTCTAGCGGCGGCGGCGACGAGGGCCTCCCAGGAGGCCCAGAACGCGAAAAAACGAGGAGCAAGGGTAGCGGGTAGCGGTATCAGGACCTTCTCCTCCTCTGAGGAAATCCAAGAATACCTACAACGACTGGCGCGTGTTTTTGTGCCCTGCCCCGTGCGCAGCAGCTAAGGCCCATGGGCTCCCCGGGCTGTGTCGTGCTGTGCTGTGCTGTGCTGTGCTGTGCTGAGTTGTGTTGTGTTGTGTTGCGCTGTGTTGTGTTCTGTGCGTGCGTGCGTGCGTGCGTGCGTGCGTGCGTGTGCGTGTCCTCCTCCTCCTCCTCCTCCTCCTCCTCCTCCTCCTCCTCCTCCGCCTCCTCCTCCTCCTCCTCCGCCTCCTCCTCCTCCGCCTCCTCCTCGATCGTGCCAGTTTTTTCCCCCCCCGCGGGCACCAGCTGAGGCCCACGGGCTCCCCGGGCGCCCCGGCACGCAGGGGCGGCGAAGCCCTGCTCACGCCGTGGCCGGCGGCGCTCAGTCGGCACGAGAGTCGGCGGCCCACGGCCACCTGCGCCGCGTCCTGTGCGCCGCTCTTTTCCGTGAGGCTCGAGGCAGGGCACAGTTCTTACAGCGGAGGCCAGTCCACAGAAGGGACCGACTCGAAACCTGACATGTTTGTGGAATCTACGGCCAGTACGTCGAAATGTCGCACTTTCCGCAGACTCGGCGAGCAAAAAAAAAAATCTCGGGTAAATCACATCTGCAGTTGGTCTGCTACAGTGGAGGCAAGTCCACAAGAAACCCTGCACAAGAAACCTAACCCTGAGACCCCAGGACGTCCACCCATTTTGGGTGCGGGAGCGTCACGATTCCCATCGCAGAACCATCGAAACCCAAGAAGCCTAGGGCACCCTGGAGGCAAGCAGGATGTTTCTTGGCATGGGCCCCCACTGTACTCGACGAGGGTGGTTCGTAACCATAGGACGCCCAACCTGGAGAAAGAAAAAACAGCATCAACATGAACTGTTGACGCTCCGCGAGGATTTCTTGGATCTACGCTGGACCCCCCTCCCTGGCGCGCTCCGCGCGCCAGGGGCGGCGCCGGAGGCGCCGCCTGGGGGGTCCGGCGCGGATCCAAGAAATCTGCGCGGAGCGCCAAAAGTTTATATTTATGCACTTATTTCCTCTTCGATGACCCTTTGGACGGGAGCCGAAGCTAGGAGGGCCAGAAGGCAGGGGCAGGGGGCCCAGAGGGAGGGCCAGAAAGAGGGCGCCACTTCCTGCATTTTTCCGTGAGGGTATGACTTCGGCTTCCTGGGCCCGACACCGAGCCCGGGACCAGCAGGTACGGGAGGAAACACCACGCCGGGGGGGAGGGGTCGGGGCTTCTGGGGCTGCGGATTTGAAACATCAATGTCGGCGGATGTCTAGGTCGAGGCCAGGCACATGTTTTACTCGACGAGGGTGACTCGCAAGAGGACCCCTGACACTTTGGGAGGGGACCTAAGTGAGGAGGGCCAGAAAGTAGGGATAGGGGGTCCTTTCCTGCAGATCTATCAAGCAAAACCACCCACATGTCTTATCCCCAACGCAGCCAGGGGGACCGAAGTAAATCAGGCTACGTCTTTATTGTGTTATTAGCGTTAGGGGTTCTTTCATTCTCGATGAGAGGGAGCGCCGAAACCTATCCGAATCCACTGCCCTCTTGCAGAGTCCATCCTGAGCCTGAACCCAGCAAAGGCGTGCTTGGCCGGGATGGCGTCTGCATAGCTCCTGGGCCCAGGAAGGGCCTGGCCGGGGGGCAGTGGATATGTGTAGATTTCGCCGCCTGGCGACGAGGGGGCCCGTGTGCTGGAGAAGTGCAATGTCTGGGTCACACTCTACAGCGCTGCTCGGGGAGTGGTAGGCCAGCGGCGCAGGCGAGCGTTCGCTGCACGGGCTCATTCCGCAACGACAAGGGCGGAGAACCGACATGAGCGCACGTCCCATGCAGGGGTGGGGGGCGGAGGATGGGGGAACGGGGTGGGGGAGGGGATGCCAGGTGGTGAGCCTTTCAAAGGGCTCCGGAGGCGGCCTTCGGAAGGCCTTCAGCGAGGCCGAAGGCCGCCGGAGGGCCTCTGCAGGACATGGACCTCTAGAGATGATCCTGGCGCAGAGTGTCACGAGATGATCGGGCCACTGTGGAGTCCGGGGGGCACTGTTGGCCTCGTGAGTGGCGCTCTGGAGACCATCTGGACCTCCCTGACGAGCCGGGGTCCAGGGCCACCTCCGGCGGCTCTGCTCGGTGGCGGGCGACGGGGGGGAAGTGAGAAGGGGCGGGCCTTCGCAGAAGGCTCGGCAGTCCCCCGGCCTTCTGAGAAGTCTTTGAAGCCTCCCCCGAGGGCGGAAACGATTTCTCAGAAGGCGCGAGGCCTTCCGAGAAGTCCCGCCGCCCTTCTGAGGAGGCCTCCTCCTTCCCATTCCCCCCCACGCTCGCCCCCCCCCTTATCTGTGGCATCCGGGTCGTCACCAGTCGCCCAAACTGGAGGCGTCGGGCATGTGGGCGATCTGCCCCTCGCTCGACCCAGCGGCAGAGCAACCTCCGGGCCGGCCCTCCTGCTGCTGCACGCGCGAGCTCCAAAAAGCTGGTGTAGCGGGCGCCCGTACTCGGTGGGACTTCGACCACAATGGGATGCACAAAGACATACTAGTACTATACGTCCTCCTTGGAGGCGTGCGTCCGACCCGAAGATATAGTATACCCATCTTCTAGTATATCGTTTCCCGAGCGGTGTGGCCAGAACGCGCCCGCCACGACGCATAGAGTATAAGATTTCTCGGTGTGAGCGTCGACCCTGGGGGGGGCGACGCACATATAGGATAAGTATGTTGGGGTGACGCCGACACACGACTGCTGGTGGAGACCGTGTTGCAGCACAGTTCGACGACTGCATGCTGACCCGATTGAATCTTCCGCTGCTAACGTCGTGTTCCATAAAGAAGCAGCACGGTGGCGCGGCAGCCTACACGGTGGGATTTCGACCACGGGAGACTTCCACGGGAGACTTCCACGGGAGGCCCGTGGACCCTGAACGCCAAAGGACTTCGACGTATTCCCGGCAGGGTTGCCTGGCAAAGCGCAAGTGCAAGCGGCTTATCGACGCGCGTGTGGCGTCAATAACTCGAAGATCGGACACCAGAACATCCCGTCATCCTCAGTACTCATCCCCAATCCTCCCACCACTCTTCTCCCTCCTACCTGTCTTCTTCCTCCGCCCTCTTCCTCCTCCCCTCCCTCTCCCTATCTCATCCACCTTCCTCGTCCTCGTCTCCTCTTCCCTTGTGTGTGACCTCCTCGGATCACTCCTCCTCATTATCATCACCAGAATCATCACAATCACCACTATCATCGTCATCAGCATCATGCCACCATCATGATAGACGTCACCGTCATCGTCATCGTCGTCGAATTGAACATCCACTTCCCCCTCGCCATCTACACAAACATCAACATCAGCACCAACTTCACAAAGTTTACCACCACCACCGCCATCATCATCGCCATTGCCGACACCCCCAGCATCTGCATCAGTATGTTCCGAACTCTTCCCCTGCCCTTGCTCCGCATGCACATCTTCCTCCTCCTCCTCCCTATCCAGAATTTTCCCTTGCCCTCTCCCATCTCCCCTCTCCTCCTCCTCCTCCTCCTCCTCCTCCTCCTCCTCCTCCTCCTCCTCCTCCTCCTCCTCCTCCTCCTCCCTCCACATCCGTTTCCCCTGCTAACCCAGAAGGTACCACCTAATCCCTCGAACCCCGAACATTTCCACATCTAATCCTCCTCTTGCACCTCCGCCTCATCTTCATCACTACCCCTTGCGTCATAAAAGCTGTAACCATACCCCAAAGCTGCTTCCAGACAGACGCGGTCCGCCGCCGTACCGTGGCTACTCCAGATTTCGTAATAAAAGGGAGGGGGTCTGGACCCTCCAAGACGAGCCATTTCAGACCTCCCCCGTGGGAGAACCCTCCAAAACATCGTCCCCAGACCCCCCAGGCCCTCCAAGATGGCCTGGAAGAGACCCCCCCCCGAAATGAGATCCCCCTCCCTTCATTACGAAATCTGGAGTACCGATTGGAGTGTGCTCAGGTCCCTTCGAGGTCTCCGTGTCGAGGGTCAGGGGCCCGGGGCCTGGACTCACGGTCGTCAGCGGGCCCTTCTGGAGCGTCCCGCGTGCCTTTCCCCCGCACTGGAAGTATTGAAACACAACTAGATGGCCAATGCGTTCGGCCACGAGGGGGGGGGGGAACCCAAACATGCCCCCAGAGAGCCTTCATTGTGCCGAGATGGCCCAGCTGGCCCGCAAAGGTGCACCGAAGAGGCCTCCAAGAGACCCCCCGGGAGGCCCTCAACGGGCTCCTCGGGGCCCCCCGCCAGGTGCCCACGAGGCGCCCAAGAAGCCCCCAGCAGACATTCCAAGAGACCCAACACAGAATTGAAGAAGACCCTGACCCACAACCCAAACACGGGGTCGGGAGGAGATGAAGGCCACTGTCCTCTCCCTTTCTGATTGCAGAGTGGCGCGCGGCGTGCCAAACTTGTAACTAGCCTTGTGGGCCCTTCCGATAAATTCACAGTGTGGTCTCGGCCCTCCTCGGAATCACGGCTTTGTCCTCCTCCTCCCCTTCCTCCTCCTCCTCCTCCTCCTCCTCCTCCTCCTCCTCCTCCTCCCTCCTCCTCCTCCTCCTCCTCCTCCTCCTCCTCCTCCTCCGCCTCCGCCTCCGCCTCCGCCTCCGCCTCCTCCTCCTCCTCCTCCTCCTCCTCCTCCTCCTCCTCCTCCCTCCTCCTCCTCCTCCTCCTCCTCCTCCTCCTCCTCCTCCTCCTCCTCCTCCTCCTCCTCCTCCTCCTCCTCCTCCCCCCCCCCTTCCATCATGTGCCTCCTCCTCCCCCCTGTCTCTCTCAACCTGCTGCTGCCCAGCGCCTCCCAGCGCCGGAGGCGGGTATGTATCGAGGAATGGGCCCTTCGGTGGGGCCGAGACCAGCTGCATGCAGCAAATTTCGTAACCCCCCCTTTCCCAATCCCCCCCTTTCGTCCGGCCCTCCCGCTCCCGGCCCGCCGTCCTGCAGCGTGAGGGACTCGAAGATCAGGCACCAGAACTCCGTGCTCCCGTCGCGCCGCACCATGGCGCCCAAACCCCTCCCCCGCGGGCCGCGCCCGCCGCGCGGCCGAGGGCGGGCCGGCCCCTCGGCCCGAGCGGGCGGAGGGAAGCGAGGGGCGGGAGCGGCGAGGGCGCGAGGGAGGTCGGAGGAGGTCGGAGGAGATTGGAGGAGGAGTTGGTTGGAGGAGGAAAAGAGCAAGGAGGAGGAGGAGGAGGATACTGGAGAAGGAGGAGGTTGGAGGAGGAGGAGGTGGTTGGAGGAGGAGGAGAAGTAGGAGGAGGGGGAGGAGGAGGAAGAGGAGGAGGAGGAGGAGGACGACGAGTCGCATCGCACTCCTCCTCGGAGCAGCCCAGATGCCCAGCAGGTCGCCCACGATTTTCATGTCTATATTCCAGCGTTGCGCCTCTGCGCGAGAAGCGGAATCGACCCACGGCCGACTCCGAGCTGGGCGCGGCAGTGACGCCAGGTCCCCCTGCCAGGTCCCCATGCCCGCCAGGTCCCCGAAACTCCAAAAATACACAACAATACTAGGGGAAAACAACCTACCTCGCTTTTGACCACCCTCGCTTCCAAGAGATACCAAACGATGCCAAACTACGGCCTGTACTGGTCAGGCCGCTTGACGAGGAGGCGCGTGGTATGACTTGGTTTTGCCTGGAAGCGAAAGCGGGGTAGGTAATTCACGCTCCGAAATACTGAAAAACAGTCCCCAGACTGTCTTCGACTGTCTTGGAACACACTCCTCCTGTAGAGGGGACAGGCCCAGCTTGACCTTCGCCACGCCCCCACTCGACCCCGCCCCTCCAACGCCCTGCCGTGGGGGGCCCACACGAGCCACGCCGTCGCCGAGCCGAGCCCCCACTGGCCACCGCTGGGACGTCCATTCCCTGTGCTTTTTGTTGGCTCCGTGCGTGGTTTTTCTTCCACACGTAGGATGATCCAGGACGCTCCTTCAGAATCCCCGCCGAGAAAAAGTGCACACGTCCCAGCGATACCAGGCCCACGTCCCAGCGATACCAGACCCCACTGGCCACCGCTGGGACGTCCATTCCCTGTGCTTTTTTGTTGGTTCCGTGCGTGGTTTCTTCTTTCACACGTAGGATGATCCAGGACGCTCCTTCACAATCCCCGCCGAGGAAAAAGTGCACACGTCCCAGCGATACCAGGCCCACGGACCAATTTTCGGCTCGACGACCCTGCCGGTCACCCCCAGCCCGCAGCAGCACGCCTCGCCGCGGCATGACTGTGCCGCAGGACCACCAGAATTCTGACCTCAGAATTCCAGTGAAAATCCAATGAAAAATCAAAGGACCGTGCCCGCCAACAGTGCGGTGCCAGATGTAGTTGAGGTCGCGTCGCTCAGCTTCGAGGTCTTGTGCTATCTCCTCCTCCTCCCTCCTCCTTCCTCCTCCTCCCCCACTTCCCTTCCCGCGCAGCGCTCCACGCGCCGCAGCACGCCCGCGCGGGCGCGGCGCGGGCGCCGCCCCGCCGCTCCCCGCGGGCGGACCGCCTGGGCGAGAGGCCCGCGGGCGCGGCGGCGGCCGCGCGCGCCCCCGCGGGGGGCAGCGCGCGCCCCGCGCTCGCCCCGCCCCCGGCCTAAGGGCCGGCGAGGGCCGCCCGCCGAGGGCCCGACAGAGAGAGGCGGCGGCGCGCGCGCAGGCCCGGCGGGCCAGGCCAGGGCGGGGCCCAGAGGCCTCCTCCTCCTCCTCCTCCTCCTCCTCCTCCTCCTCCTCCTCCTCCTCCTCCTCCTCCTCTTCCTCCTTTCCGTTTCCTCCTCCTCCTCCTCCTCCTCCTCCTCCTCCTCCTCCTCCTCCTCCGTTTCCGTTTCCTCCTCCTCCTCCTCCTCCCCTCCGCCTCCTCCTCCTCCTCCTCCTCCTCCTCCTCCTCCTCCTCCTCCGCCTCCTCCCCATGCTCGCCGCCAATTTAGGCGTCTCCGCGCCGCAGGCGCATCGGTCCTCAGTGCGGGGCCCAGAGCTGTGACCACCGAGTGGTCGGAGGGGAGTCCCAGGCAAGGCCGGGGTCTTCGGGGGCGCTGCCTGGGCCACGAGGCGGAAGGCGCTCGGGCGCGGCGGGCCTTCCGGCAGGCCCAGTGGCAGCACGCCACAGACAAAAATGGGTGCGGCCTCGGAGAAACCTGCAAGGCACACACCAAAAAATACATTGAGAAGAACAACAGATGGTCAGACCGACAGAGCATAGCAGTCGCGGCGAAATACTGGTCGCATAGGCATGCAACGAGTGGTGACAACAAGTGGCGACAGAGCACCTGCGCCCGTCTCCGCCCGCCCGCGCCCCCCTCGGGAAATTGGAAGCACGGGCGCGCGCGCCCTCGGCACTCACGTCGACGACCCCCATGTCTTGGAGAACGCGTTTTAGTTAGTGGACGCTTGCTGGGAACGAAAACACGTGGACACGTCGGAACCGCCCCCCCCAAAAAAACATTGGAGGCATTCACTTCGACGACCCCCATGTCTTGGAGAACGCGTTTTAGTTAGTGGACGCTTGCTGGGAACAAAAACACGTGGACACGTCGAAACCGCCCCCCAAAAAAAAACATTGGAGGCATTCACTTCGACGACACCCATGTCTTGGAGAACGCGTTTAGTCAGTGGACGCTCGCTGGGAACAAAAACACGTGGACACCTCGGAACCGCCCCCCCCCCCCCTAAAACATCGGAGGCGCCCGGAGAACCGCCCCCCCCGCCGCCTCGACCCTGGCCTCCATAACCCGGGGGGAGGGCCTCCCCCCCTGTCCAAGGAGGGGGGGGGCGGTCGAAATGGGGGGCGGGGGGCATTCCCCTTCATAGGATCCCATCAGTGCTCGATCAGGCTGCGATCGAATCCTACTGTAGCTGGATATACTTGTTTAGCAAAATCCGAACCGGGCTCGATCCAACTTGGATAGGAACCTAATATACCTGGATCAAGTTCTAACTGCTTCCTACCAAGGCTCGATCCAACTGTAGACGATTCCTACTCTAGCTGGACCCATCACGTAGTAGAATCCTAACTGGGTTAAATCGGATCCTAGTATAGCCGGGTCCAGATCTAATCGCATCCTACTGATGAACAACCCACTTCGAAAAGAACCCGACTGAAGCTAGATCCAAATCCTACCAGGGCTCAATCCAGCTCTGAAAGAATCTGACTCGGGCTGAATGCAGCCTGTCCACGTCGTTGCCCGACGGCGCCGGCGCCCGCGCTCGCCGACGAGGGTCGACTCCGAGGAGGGAGGGGGGCGGCGACCCCCCTGGCTCGAACCCCCCCCCCCCCCCCTGCGTGTCAGCTTCCCCCCCCCCCGGTGCGAACCCCGCTAACCCCAGCGTCCACAGGAACGCGCTCCATCCCATGTCTTCGTGGAAACTTCCACGCTCGGGCGATTTGGGAGGGCGCGTCGACTCGGGCGCCCGCGCCCCTTATGCACAAACCGGAACGAGCTTGATGACGGGCAGTGCGAGGCGCAGTGACCCGAACGCGCCGCCATACTGTTTCCCGAACCGGCCCGACATGCACGCCCAACCTCGCATTTCTGCGTGCAGTCTGGGAGCTTCGTTTTGTGGGACTGCGGAAGCCGTCGACATCAAATACGGGGCAATGCCCTGCCCTCCCCCCCCTCCCCATCCACCCCGCCCCAACCCCCCCACTCCCCTCCCCCTCCCCCCCTTTTCCCCATCCCCACGACGGACGACGGACGACGGACGACGGACGACGGACGACGACGACGACGACGACGACGACGACGACGACGACGACGACGACGACCACGACGACCACGACGACCACGACGACGACGACGACGACGACGACGACGACGACGACGACGACGACGACGACGACGACGACGGACGGCGGACGACGGACGACGGACGACGGACGACAGACGAGACGACGGACGACGGGACGACGGACGACGGACGTCGACGACGCCGACGTGGCGCCGACGCCGACGCCGACGCCGACGCCAACGACGGCAACGACGACGACGACGACGACGACGACGACGACGACGACGCCGGCGACGACGACGACGACGACGACGACGACGACGACGACGACGCCGACGCACCCAGGCCCCCCGCAGTCCTCCAGCGCCGCGGACGCCCCCCGCGCGCGCGCGCGGCGACGCCGCCCGCCAAGAGGCAGCCCGCGCGCGGGCGGGGCCTGGCCCGCCGCCGCGCCGCAGCGCGCCGCGGCCGCCGCGCGCCTGCGCGCGCGCGCGCGCGGCGTGCGGAACGTCGGGCTGTCCTCCGTCCGCGCCGCCGTGCCCGTCGCCGTCGTCATCGTCGCCGTCGTCGGCGCCGACGTCGTCGCCGTCGCGTTCGTCGCCGGTGTCTTCGGAGTCGCCGTCGCAAACGCCGCAGCTGTCGTCGTCGTCGTCGTCGCCGTCGTCGTCGTCGGCGTCGACGTCGTCGTCGTCGGCGTCGTCGGTGTCGCCGTCCGCTGCTGTCGTCGTCGACGTTGTCGTCGGCGCCTGCGGCCGCGGCCGCCGAAGATAGAAAGCGTGAGGGGGAGGGGAGGAACACATGTGATAATGAGAAAGTGCACGGGAGAAAAGTAAGCTAGATGCGGTCGAGCTGTGTGTGGCATCGTACCACATCCCGCCAATCCCCTTCTATTGCGCAGATGTTCTGCTATCCACCAACGGGGGTGATAGCAGACCTGGAACGATCAGAAGTCCTTCATCTGATGCGCATTTAGAGAAATGGCGCTGCGCACGCACGTCGCAAGAGGAGGAGGAGGAGGAGGAGGAGGAGGAGGAGGAGGAGGTGGAGAAATCCGATGAGAAAAAGGACGCACTGCAGAAAGATAATGAGAATGAGGACGGAGACGAACGAGAAGCAACAGCAGCACAAGCACCGTCTGGAGCAGGACAGGCAAGAAGAGGAGGAACGAGTGAAAACATGAAGGGGCGGAAAGAACGAGCCGACAACAGCGACGACGGGCTCGGCTCCATAACTGCGGCCCGCAGCGGGGCGGGCGCGCCAGTTGGAGCGGCGGGGGCAGAGTGTCGATGCGGGAAGGGTGCCAGCGGTGCAACAAGAACACAAATTCTGTCGCACCGCAAGCACTCCGACTGAAACAAAACCTTGGCGCGGACGCCAAACGGCTCGGCGAGCCGCACCGCCACGACGGGCGC